GGCGAGGGAGGAGAGGACGTCGAGGATTGATCGAGAGCCCTGGCGGTTGCAGCTGCGGTTGACGCACACCCTAATTTCTAGGGTTTGTTGGTTTTGGGATTTTATTTGTTGTTGTCTGGGCTTTCGTTTCGTCGTTGAGGGGGTTGATCTTTGATTTGAGAAAGGATGAGGAGTTGATAATGGATTCCTTATAGAGGTTGCCTCCATTATGTGAAGAGTGGAGAGCAGAGAGAAGTCAGGAGGGGATATTTGATTTGTTTAGTGTAGAAAATTCATTTAAGCCCCTCATTCGGTTGTAATCGTTTAACTGCACCTTTGATTGAATTACATTTAGGCCCTCTAGATCTGTCTTCATTTTGCTTTGAGACCAACACCGGGATTTTTTTTTCAAAAGAAATAAAAGAACTAAAAACAAAATTTATTTTATGTAGCACCTAAAATACTTCTGTTTTTTTGGTTAGCTATGAAATATCGATTGCTTCTTTAGAATTTAATCTCTCTGAGCCAGCCGCTCTGTAGTTGGTTCATGAGACCGGATTCTAAAGAAAATTTACACTATATCACAAAAAAAAAAAAATAATAATCGACTTTTTGACTAATTTTTTGGAACAAAATCCTATTACTTCTTGCTAACTTTACTTAAAACTATCAAATATCAAGATGCAAAATGGATCGACATGTCACCTATGAACCTTGAAACTCAACGAGCAAGAATGAACTGGATCAAACTAAAACCTTATATGTTTACTATTTAACAATCGTTAATTTTGAACTAAAGAGAAACTCCTTTCTTTAAAAAAAAGTTTTTCGGTCTATGCAACACAAACTTTATCTTAATAGGGGCTGTTTGTTTGCCCAAAAAATGAGGAAATGGGATGCCACATAGGATTTAGGGAAATGTCAATAGTGTCACATCAAATTTTGGGTTCAAGGGATTTCCAAATCATAAGTTTGTTTCGTTATGTGATTTCAAGAAATGAGGGTGCTACGTAGGATGCCACTTCGGATTTTAGAGAAAACTCATTTCAGACCAAAACCTAGGGCTGGGCATATTCGGTTCGGTTCGGTTTTATGTCCAATCCGCATCCAATCCGAATTTTTCGGATTCTCAAAATTCTCATCCAGATCCAGATTTTTTCCCCTTCATCCGAATATTCGGCCCAACCGAAATTCGGTTCGGTTCGGTTCGGTTTCGGTTTTGAATTTGCAAAGAGTTCTATCCAAAGACTTCTGTTGTGAATTTGTAAGCTGGGCATTGTCCTCATGATGAGGTTCCTGAGCTCGCCAACAAAGGTTTATTAGACTGGTTATCATCTTTAGAATAAAGTTTTAAGTTGATATAATTACGTAGAGAACTGATGTTTTAAAGATGTTGTTCATATAATACAACATGCTTATCTCTTGTAAGTATCATGTACATAACACATTTTGTGATTGATTTGAATCTTATGTAATTCTCAAGATCTTTTCTGTGAAATTTTTTAACTAAAGTTTAAGTTTATTTAATTACACGGGGGAGTGATGTTTTGTATGATATTGTTCATATAATGTAGCGTATGCATCTTTTGTAAGTGCATCATGTGCATAACAAATTTTCTGGATTGATTTGAATCTTTACTTAATTCTCAAGGATATTTTTCTGTGATATTGTTATACTCGTTGCTTGAAACTGCTCCTTGCGCCGTTTGAATCTATTGGATGATAACAGGAAAAGTTTTGAGGTATAAGTTTAGTCTCTAAACCGTCCAACAGAATTCGGGTCGGTTTTTTTTGGGCGGTTCAGGGGTTCAAACCGGATCCAAACCGATTTAATTCGGTTCGGGCGGTTTAGAGACTTCTTCTCATCCATTTAATTCGGTTCGGTTAACCGGTCCGTTTTTTCGGGCGGTTTTTTCGGTTGAACCGGTTTTTTTTGGTTTTTGCCCACCCCTACCAAAACCCTCAGAAATGGGGTGGAAATGTCACATCTGACAATATTTAATTGCCCAAAACACTGTTGAAATGGCGACTAAAGATTAAAAGGCAATATTTAAATGTTGAAATCACTATTGAAACGACGGCGGAGTTCTTTTTATTATTTGTGTTCAAACAAACCCAAGAACTAGAAATGTAGGATTAAAAGACAATATTTAAATACTGAAATCACTATTAAAACGACGGCTGGGTTTTCCATTTCTTTGATTTCAAATGTGAAATAAACAAAATAAAAGAAATGCGGGAAACCCTTTGAAATGTCCTGAAATTGGTTTTCAAACACTGTTTTTCATTTCTTCTTTTTTCAAAAATGTACCAAATAGACCCTTACTTGCAAATTTATCTCTTAGAATTGCATATTCACTAATTTACCCCTATGAATTTAACGCTATCTATTACTCTATAATAATGAGAGGATCCAAGATTCACTATTCATGCAACAATAAAAACTACAGCAAATTACTGTAGTATTTGTTACTGTAGCATAGGCAGGAGGATCCGAGATTCAATACTCATGCTGCAAAAAATACTGTAGCATTATTACTGTAACACAGACGGGGATTGTAACGTCTAAAAACATTACTAAATCAGTATTACTGTAGCTCAGGCAGGAAGGTGTAGCATTTTAAAATGTTACTGTAGCATTTTAAAAATGTTATTGTAGCACTTACAAAACTGTATTAAATACATAATTAATATAGAAAAAATAAAAAAATGGAGACCGTGCTTTACACGGGGTGCACACTAGTTACTTGAAGAAAAGGATATAAAAATCTAATATTGGATAATGTAGAGATAATATGGGGTGCTTTATACAAATTGGAGGGTGAATCCACAATTAAGGCAGATATGAAGGGTACGCAGGCAAATCCAAGTCAGAGGCTAGACCTCACTTAGCCCATCAGCAGCCCAGCCCAGATCCCATTTGGCGAAAATTATTACCAGTTCGAAGACTGTTGCTCGCTTTCTTTGCTCCTCTTCCTCTCGAGCGGTCTGAGATCTCGTGTTGCTTCTCTCCGATCCCTCACAATTAGGGTTGCAAATGGTAATAGCTGATTCTTTTCATCCTCTTATTTCACCAATTCGATAGATTCGATTCTGTTAAGATGCGGAGTCACAAATGAGGATTGGATGCAGGGCGATTCAACTTCAGCGGTGCAAGAGAATCAGAAGCTAGGGTTTGATTTGGGAGTATTTGTTGGGGATCTGGCTGTAGATGAAGATGATGCTAGCGGGTATTGGTTAATTTACTGCACAAAGATTTGATCTTTAGACCCTTTTTATTAGTTGCTGATTGCTAATTGGCGCAGTGATGATATATCATTGGACGGGCTTCGAGAGGAACTGGAAGAATGTAAGGATGATCTTGTGAGTATTTCCTCCTAGTCATTTTTTTCTTTGAAGGCCTTTAGCGATAAGGATTATAACAACATATGATTACATTCTGCGTAGCAAGCAAGATTTTCGTGGTTAGGCGCAAATATATTCTATCTTGAACAATTTACATTAGGTCCGAAATAATTGTTAGATGCTTACATGGCTTATGAAGGCCTTGGCACATTTTTGTTCTGTACTTTTGATTGAAATGGATGCAATTTGGGCTGCATTAGTTATTCGATATATGTTCTCGATGTTCTATGCATCCTTATAATCTCTTATAATCTTATTGGAATTACTAAATTATGGACTTGCATATTATTGTTAATATAGAGGGACACAACAATTGTACATTCCTTTCTACTGTTCTGACAAATCTCTGGGAAGTACTTGTTATATATGTTCCTCAGTAGTATGGTCTTGAATTTTATGAACTATCTAACTGAATCTTCTTTTGTGAATCTCCTATCACTTATATCATTTTATGAATAGTTTTCTCCTATGGAGTATGATTTTTATTTATCCTTATTGTTCAACAGGAGGTAGCAAATATCCTTTCTAAAGGAACCAAACTGCGGGAGTACACAAAGGGTGTAGAGAACAATGTGCACCAAGTTGAACTAGATTCCATTCAGGTCAGCATGTCTTAATTGCAACAAACAAAGTTTAAGACTACTGATTCTTAATTTGGTTTATATCATCCACTTCACAACGCAATGGATTATGTTTGGATAACGTATCAGACACTTGTTATCAGTGTGCCCAGACGTATAGGACACATTGATAAAACACAAACAAGGTGACACGCTAAATCCGTAAACAGAAGAGTATGGTGACCCGTCAATATGACTTAATCTGTGTGTATATACATGTATTTATATTTAGTGCACATCAATAACCATAGTGATTGTGACATGTTTTCATTTTCGTAGAAATCCATGGACCATGGTCATTTATATTGACTGATATGTTGTTTTAAACTGGGTACCATGAAACAAAGGGAAACATAATTTATGTTGGACACATTGTGTTTGACACTATATTACATGGCAAGAACCTGACTTTAAAACTTTGCACCATCTAAATGCCATGATTCCTTGTTCTTTATAGTAGTCAGACTGCAACGATTATTGTTTCTTTCTTACTATTTAGCTGCTCAAACCACAAAGTGGAAGTCGGTGCTGCTGAAAACTGAACTTTCTTATCTCTTTGGACTGCACTGAGTTAGTTAATAAGTGGAAATATCATTGCACCAAGTTATGTTAATAGGAAAATTTAAAAGAAACACGGTAATTGATGGGCATTATCCACTATTGCGTTGATAGTTTCCAAGAAGATAGCATTTCATGCCATTTTCTTCTGTTCCTCAAATCAATATATTTGTTGAATTGTGCATAACTGATTTACTTCTAAGTCCGAACCTATTAATTGTGATTTGTATCTTTGTCTTTGTTACAATCATATGCTGATTTTTATTAAACTATTCTTTCCTTATCTTCAAATTTGAAATGTCAATTTTTTACCATGCAGGATTACATCAAGGAGAGTGATAACCTAGTTCTATTACATGATCAAATTCGTGACTGTGATAATATCTTATCACAGATGGAAACCCTTCTTGGTGGGTTTCAGGTATTTAAATATCTAACAGATTTTCTTCCATTTCCCTTAAGATTGAAAATTAACGATTCACTAGCCAGCAATATCTATGGATTTTATACTTTTATATACTTTTATTAGTGTAAGTGGCTAAGTGCTAAATTTTTTGTGTCTGTAGATGTACCTCATGTATTTTCTCATACATGTTGTATATTTTCTTTCTTAACAGCAATTCAGTAATGTGCCTAAGGCAGAGAACTTTCTATCTTCTAGATGATGGGGTTTTATTTTAAGCATTAATGTGTATTAACATAAATTATTAAATATGATGATGCGCCTTTCTTTCAAACTATAACATAGTAGTATTTCTTACCTTGCAATTATTATTCTGTGATACTTGGAAAGCTTTAGTCGCACAATGACGACTTATATTACCCGTTACTGATTTATTTTCAATAAAAGATTTATCGTTGCATAGAAATGTCACATTCAATTATAGTTCTGTCAGTGTACATAAGATTCTTGTTAATAATATTCTACACATTTGAAGTATCAGGGGACAAGCTTGCAATTCTTGGGCGCGTTGGATGTGGCAAGTTTTGTTGGAAGAAAATCCCACATACCATAGGTGATATGAAATCTAGTTTGTCGACAACCAAAGGAATATGATATGATAGCTAGGCTAGGATAACAATCCCAATTTTTTTGGGTTATCTTCTAGATGATGGGGTTTTATTTTAAGCATTAATGTGTATTAACATAAATTATTAAATATGATGATGCGCCTTTCTTTCAAACTATAACATAGTAGTATTTCTTACCTTGAAATTATTATTCTGTGATACTTGGAAAGCTTTAGTCGCACAATGATGACTTATATTACCCGTTACTGATTTATTTTCAATAAAAGATTTATCGTTGCATAGAAATGTCACATTCAATTATAGTTCTGTCAGTGTACATAAGATTCTTGTTAATAATATTCTACACATTTGAAGTATCAGGGGACAAGCTTGCAATTCTTGGGCGCGTTGGATGTGGCAAGTTTTGTTGGAAGAAAATCCCACAAAGGAATATGATATGATAGCTAGGCTAGGATAACAATCCCAATTTTTTGGGTTATCTGCGAGGATCTGTTTTTTATTCATCTGTGTCCAGGCTTTTTGTTCCATATGTTTACTAGAAAATAATCACCAGAAGAGACTTGCGAGTAAATTATGGTATTGATGTTTTGAGAAGATGGTGGGAATAACAACTTTAGAGGCAGATGTGGGTCAACCTTTGATCTCCTACGCATAGCCCAGAGGTATATGAGAAGAAGAGGGATCCAGCGATTTCTATTCGGTCACATGATTAGATGAACATTGGTCACCTGTCACGAATATGCCAATATATGAGACGTGTTCAACATGTGTTTCAATAATAGTCATTACCTTAATATTTTTTTTGAAGGAATCAAGCTTTTAGCATCAAGGTTTAGCTGTATTTAGAAATAAGATTTTCTTGCATGATACTGAATAAGTTATTTAGTATATTGTGCACATGTTTCTTCTTTCTTGATCATTCGTATTTTATACTAAAGGAATTAGTTTCACAAGTATTCTGTCTGTCCCTCAAGTATTATCTGCATATGTTTCTTCTTTCTTGGTCATCGATACTGAAGAAATTAGCTCTCAAGTATCATATGTCTTATCTTACGCGAGTAGGTACCTGTGCTTCCCAATTTGTGTGCAAACAACACGGTGTAATTGAATAATTTTACATGGTTTATAGTTTATACTAGTCTCTTTGTTGCTTTAGCCCTTGGGAACTACTGTCTTGCTTTTGTATAGTACATGTCACGTTGAGTTTTTTAAAGTTTTAAATAGTTTATTAAATATGATCTTCAGTAAATTATCAGTTGCACAGTATTGATCTAATATAGCAATTTAAAAATATTAATATGATATTTTTTCCATGATTCATCATTTTTAGAATTTAAAAAATATATATTTTCCATGCTAAATTAATAGCTCTATTCTATTGTTAAAATTTTTCTTTGTTCTGATACTCATTTTTACTATGTGGGTTTATTTATGACTGCACATGCGGAGAAGCAGGTTTCTTGTTTTTATTGCTTTTTATATTGAGTTAAAACTCAGATTCTCTTTTAGAAGATGTTGATTTTTTTAGTCAGGAAATTTTAGCATGGTCTAATTTTGGCATCAGATGCAACAATACTTACAGAAATCATGTTGGTAGGCTGAAATTGGTTCTATAAGTTCAGAGATCAAAAGTCTTCAAGAGAAGTCCATGGACATGGGATTGAAGCTGAAAAATCGCAAGGTATGGCTCTCTTATTCTACTTTCGTTTTGGATTCTTTAATAGAGAGAAATACGTTAGCTTAATTTTTGAATTGCTTAGGGAGTTTCAATTTAGAATTTCATATTTTGGTGTTGCATCCACAATGGCTTTGCATCCACAATGGCTTTGCAACCATATAGGTAGAGGATGCTTCTGCTTCTCTGTTGAAATATGAGTTGTATACTGACTGCATCATTTCACCTATTTGGTAGTGAAAGACTTCCCATCACAGGTCTTAAATGATTAACTATATCTCCTTCCAGGAATAAATCAGGAACTGGCCAGTGAATCATGTTTGATAGAAAAGACATGTTATGCTCCAGAACCATTTAATGATCCAGCATATCTATCACCAGAATGTAAAAATTATATCAAGATTGTTAAGCATGGTAGCACAATCTGTCCAATAGGAATTGATTGTCCTTTTAACCTGGTATTGTTCTGTGTGGTACGACGAATACAACTCTTTCAGCTTTTAGCACAAGTTTGGGGTTTTGGTGTAGTGACAGGGATAGAAAAAGGTTCTGTGTCGTGACAGGGACACTAAAATGTGCTAGAAGAGACGATCCCGTCCAGATCCAGCTGGGAATATTTTAAGCAGATATTCTAAGAACTCCAGGTTTCAGCCCAAAAAAATGGACACTCAATGTGCATGACCGATTGAGGATGAATATGCTTTCCCAAACATTCCACAACTTGGATTGGGAAATTAATCTCAGTAGCCACATCTTTTGTTTCTGAATTCAGCTATTACTTAAGGCGCCTTTGTGAAAGATTTCTGAAGTTTTTGAAATTATATTCCTATTATCTACAGCAAATTCACGTCTGCATGAAATCCTGAAGTATACATATTTCTCACCCAGTTTTTTTAACTTCCTAATTGATCTTTATCTGAATTATTTATTAAATAAGCTTCTGCATGTTTTAATTCTATCAAAACTCAAGGGTCGTTAGTTTGTTTGTGACTGTTCCTAAATTCTGAATCTCTGATATATTGATATCAGTAAACTTACAATATAGTTGAAATTTCTTCACTTATCTTTTCACATAATGCCCTGTTATTATTATTCCTTTAGAGAATAACATTTTACTATTGTTCAGGTTTACTGGCATCACTTTTGGGTGAGGAGTTTATTAGTTTATCTTGATTCTTGACTTTCTACAGGCTTAATAGTAATGTGGTTGTGATAGCTACTTCTTGATTTTATCCTTCATATAGTGTCTGATCCAGATTATTTGGTCAGTGAAAGTATTAGATTTTCTGGACTAGAAATATGATTTCTGTGAAGTTTCTACTAAATTATTATTCTTACCTGGAGAGGCTAAAATATTCTTCAGATCTGCAATCAAGATGTGGACTGTGGTTTCACTTGAGAAAGAACTATATCTTGGTTGATACTAGTATTTGATTGAATTGTATCACTCCTTAAAATATCTAGTAATTTTCTTCAAGATATGTTTGTGAATCAGCTTATCTTTATACAGGTGGCAGAGTCAAAATTGACAAAGTTTGTTGAAGACATTATTGTGTCACCAAGAATGGTGGATATACTTTATGACGGAGAGGTAATTGATTTATCACATTTCTGTTATAACCTTCGTCCAAAACTGGTTCCATCACAGTAAAAAGGAAAAAAAATCTAAATGCCTTATCAAATATTTATCTCTTTATATTGTTAAACTCGGAGTATAACACTGTAGCATATCATATAGTCAGGTAAAATGATAAAAACAAAAGTTCTTGATCAGTTTCATTTTTGTCAGATCAGTGAGATATGGACCACATTGTTATGTGAATTTTATTGATATCTTGTATAGGTATTACCATTTCATTTCTATAACTGATATGATTATAGTGGCTGGGTAATATTCTGTCACTCCAAGAGACTCGCATCCTGAAGATGTGAAGCTTTGCGATTAACTTCCCCCTACGCTATCGCCCAATAGCGATGACATATTGCGGAATATGCGTTTTTTGCTTGCAAAAACGGCCAATAATGCACCACAGCAGTGAATAGCGGGCGATTGTCGGCAAAATCCGTTATTTGATTGTTATTTAAAAGTGGTTTGAGATTTATTTTTTTTAAATTAAACCTGACCTACAACAACTACATCCCACCGCCTCCCCTGCTTTCCGGCGTACTCCTGCTGCCTCCCATAGCCTCTGGCACCTCCCTCAGCACTTCCTCTCACCTCCTCTCGCCGTGAGCTCCTCCTAGTGCAGTACTCTCACTGCTTAGCTCATCTTCTCGAAGATGACACCTCTTTGAATCCTCCAATTGTCTTCGGCATTATGTGATGGTTACATGTCTATTTCATGTTTAGGATCTCTTGAAATCATCAAATGTACTTTTAGATTTTCTAAATTTTTTTTAATATTTATATATATCTAAATTAGACCGTTATTTGATGTTGTGCTTTTTACCGCTATTTTACCGTAATAGCCCCAAATAGCCTTTGCGATGTCTCACCGCTACACAACGCTATCCGCAATCGATAACCTTGTGTATATATGTATGCATGTATGTATGTATGTGTGTGTGTGTACACACACACACACACACATATATATATATATATATATATATATACATATATATACATATATATATATGTACATATACATGTATATGTATATAGATACATGTATATGTATATATATATGAGATTAATGGGTATCCTATGTCAAGGAGGGGATTCCCTCCTTAATAATGATGTGACACAATCCCCACCAAGTGAAATTCTCTCTCCTATTTTATTCACATGGTGGGGATTGTGTCACATCATTGTCAAGGAGGGAATCCCCTCCTTGACATAGGATACCCATTACTCTCTAGAGATTGGCATTCTGAAGTAGTCATGTCTAAAGCACTGTGTTACCAAGTTAGTAGAATTTATATGCAAAAGCACCGTGTTACCAAGTTAGTAGACTTTATATGCAATTACAAAATAATCACATGTAATCTCAAACTATATGAATAATTGCCTGGGTCAGCTCATAAAGTGAGGGTCAGTATGTTCTCTAATATGTGCTGGAGATTTCACCCCTTTCCACAATAATTCTGAATTATATGACAATGAGAATAGGGTTATATTAATAATAAATTAATGACATACTCTGCCTTCTTTTCTATGCTTATAGTTTTTGATGCAAAGCATCTGACATGGTACCGCTATCATTTTAGACTTTCAAATTTTTTTACTGATTTCACTTTTTTCTTATTTTAACTTTGATCTCTCTTGCAAGCAAAGAAACCCTGGGTATTTTTATAGTCTTCATACATGAACATTTTGCCAATTTGGTGGGATCGACTTGGTGAATCCCTTTTGTCCAAAAGGCCCTGTCAAGGGTCATCTCCAACCAGAAGTTTTTTACTGTACCATTTTTATACAGACGTTAACACTGACCTTGTGTTGGTGATACTTTCTGTTGTTGGGTAACAACAAATTGAATCTTCTTTTAGCATTTTATGCTTCCGTTACGTGTTTAATTTTCTTATATGTGATTACAGAGACATTCTTTGAAAAGTTTTAAATAAACCTCGTATTGCAAGTATATCATAGTAGCTTTTGTTAATTTTCAATTATATCTGAAAATGGTTTAAAAAAATCTGTTGGTGATGATTTATACACTATTAATTTTTCTTTTAATTTCGTGAATTAGTAAATCGAGTCTCAATTTCCAGTTGAATATGGGTTGAAGGATCTGTTGGTAAAATCATTTAGAAAGTATTTATTTGTCTTTGTATTCTTGAATTAGTAGATGGAGTCTGAATTCCTCTGGTCACAGTGAAGGAGCTTTTTGTATTTTAATTAGCCAATATTACTTAGCTGCTAATATGGTATTGGATACTTTTTTTTAACAGGTGAATGATGAATATTTGAAAACCCTCGAGACCCTTAGTAAGAAACTGAAGTTTGTTGAAGCTGATTCACTGGTCAAGGCATCAAAAGCTCTGAAGGATGTTCAGCCTGAGCTCGAAAGGCTTCGGCAAAAGGCTGTATCAAAGGTTGTCAGATGGATAGTGCCTCAAACTATTTTAGTGGCTACACATTTTTCTATATGAAAGAATGCTACTTCATGCTGTTATATATTTTCTGTTGAATACAATCAATCAGTTCCTAAAATGTGAATAAATTCTCTTTTTTGACTATCAAAATTGTTAATTCCTGATGCTGTTTACAATATTGGTCATAACAGTAATTTCCCTGATATAATGAAACTTAAAAGTTGTGATTGTAGGACCTTATTTAATGTCTAGTACTAGATTCACTTGACCTTTCCCTCTACTTATGTTCTTCCTATAATTTTCTTTTCTTTGAAGATTTATTTGTATTTGCTATGACTACAAAGATATTCAAAATCTTGTATAAAGCTTAGATCTGGATAGGATAGCTCACACATTTGAGTTCTTAGCAGGAATAGAAACGTTCTGCACTATAATCTATTCTATCATTGGAACATATTACTTATTTTTTCTGCCTGATATAAAGGTTGCTAAAATTGTCAACAGGTAGAATTGAAAATATCTTCTGAAATTGAGTATCTTTTGTTTTTTTTTGTTTTTTTTTTGCAGGTATTTGAATTTATTGTTCAGAAGCTCTATGCATTGAGAAAGCCAAAAACAAATATCCAGATCCTACAGCAAAGTGTTCTTCTGAAATACAAGTGAGTAGTACTTGATGGTGATAATACAATCATGTTCTTCATGAATACTGATTGCTCTACTTATTAGAAGCTTCCTGGATCTCAATGTTGTCATAGTTTTCCATCTATTAGCTGGCATCAGCGTCCTGAAATCAAAATATTCCATCATAGCTTCATCTTATGTGCCTTTTAATCAATATCTTAGCTTTAAAATCTATATTTTTACTATAAATAAAATTGAGTTCATGTACTCGTGGTTCTTTACCCTTATTTTCATCTGTTAAATATTCTATCCATTTGTTGCACCATCCATCAGTATCTGAGTGATCCCATATGTTTCAGTATATTTTTTGTTTATCTCATTGTCCCATTATAACTCCTAAGCACCCATGTTACCAGGAGACTCCATTTTATGAAAATTTATCACATTATAACACTTGTATATACACTCGTATATGAAAAACGCTTGACTATTTATGTAAAAAAAGGAGGCAACACTTGATTTGTATTAAAGAATGAAAAGGATCAGATGAAATATCTAAATGGATTTATAAGAGTAGGAGGTGTCAATGGTGTCGTTTGAAGCAGACTGGAGAGGATGGTTGGATGAGGTACGACCGAAACAGGCTGTTATGACGGTCATGGTTCATTGGGGAACTGAATTCATTTAGCAACTGAACGAGTCAGTACAGCATGAATTGGGTTCACCAAGAACCTACCATTTTTGGAAACCGATTAGTTTAAAAAAAACATTGTAAGTGAGAAGATTTGAACCATGATCAACGGAACAGAAAATTACCCATAAAAATAACTACTTCTTAGCATCTGGGATAAGTCATAGCATATAAATTGTATGAAGTCAATCCCTTTAACTGTGTTCCCCATCTCTCCTGGAGAGGAGTCAGTAGGGAAACCCTTAGGTGACACAGACTTCTTTAACTGATGAAGAATTGCTTTCCATTTACGTATTGTTCATGTTCTTTATCATACCATTGGAGTATTATTTAGGTATAATAATCAGTTTTTCTGCACTTGTTCTTCTAGGTATGTGATTACTTTTCTTAAAGAACACGGCAAAGAGATTTATGCTGAGGTCCGTGCAGCTTATGTTGATACAATGAACAAGGTGAACACTGTTTCAGTGATCCTCTATTACATTTGGCTTAGTGCAATCAGCAGGTTAAAATATTTGTAACAACATTCGCAACAACATTAAGAAAGTCCGTGATGTTAACAAAAATATAAGTTAACTACATGCGATAACACAGGACAAGGTTTTTACTCTTTTGACTGTAGCATTTTCTTGTTTTTCCAGGTTTTAAGTGCACATTTCCGAGCATACATACAGGCGATGGAGAAGCTGCAACTTGATATAGCATCACCAAGTGATTTGATTGGAGTTGATACCCGGAGCTCTGGCCTTTTCTTAAGGGGAAGAGAACCACTGAAAAACCGATCTGCTGTTTTTGCTTTGGGAGACAGGATAAATGTTTTGAAAGTATGTTTCTTCCTTATAGTTACATATGGTTTTAATATTCTTCGTCATGGGAAATATCAACTATGTGAATTCTTGCATGCCATTTTTCTGGTTTAGATATTTTTGATGCATGGTTGCGCAAATCATGTCAGGTCATGTTTTCAGCGTACACACTTTGTCAGCAAATAGCTTTTCCAGAATGTTTCCTGTGAATAACTGCATGTCCTAAAAATACCTTCCCATTTTGGGTTTCATTCTCTTCCTTTATAATTTTCTTTTCCACCTAATTATGTTTGTCTGCATATTGCATTTTAGATATGGAGATACCATCTCCTTTTCCTTGTTTATCAATGTCCCTCAGCGAAGTTATATGGTTGTACATTTCGATTTATAAAATAATCATAAGCGTCTGACTCATTGCTGTCTAAATGGCTACAAACTCTTTTCAAGGCACTTAATGGTTTCAATCAGTGATCTTCTTTAGAACAAAGAGAGAATGCCTCAAACACTTGTCCCAAAAGCTCCATATGGATTATGAAAAGTTAATGAAGGTTAAATCAAAACAAGAGGGAAATAGCCAATGTTTTAAAAAGCAGACGCCTAGCTCGTCTAGGCCCCCACCTAGGCCGAGGTGGTACCTAGGTTGCTCTCCTTGGTCTTGGGAGTGCCTAGGGGAGCGTGGGCCACTTACCAGGACTACACCCCTTAAGTCTTGGTTGTGATTTTCTTTGTTGTAGTCTCCACATCCTCCAACCTCCTTTCGGACTCCTCCGGCCTCCACTAACTATGAACACCTCCACCTCTAACCTTCAGCAAAACCTCCTCCACTTCCACTTGAACAAAGAAAGAAATCTGCCTAGGTGCTAGGACCAGTCCGGGGCCTAGAACTTTCTATAACATCGGCACTTATTATCAATTATTTAAACTAGAAAAAAAAAGGAAAACTTCCTAGGCCTCCCATAGGCTCCTACTAGGCATCGGACCCAGCACCTAGGCCGACTATTGTTCTCCATAACCTTGAAAATAACTTAACAGTTAATGCCAAAAGCCATAAATGCATTTATCCCAGAGAAAAAGTAAATGAACAGTGATTAACTAGTTAAAACATGGTCTGTCTCTATACATTATTGCAATTTTCTTTGTTTTCTCAGGAAATTGAACAGCCTGCATTGATCCCACATATAGCTGAAGCTAACTCTCAAAAATATCCGTATGAAGTTCTTTTTAGGAGCTTACACAAGCTTTTGATGGATACTGCCACTTCAGAGTATGCATGTTATCTGTTAACCCGTTGTGAATTGTATAAATAATGCATCGAACTGTTTGATTAATGTTATGTTTCATTACTTCAGGTATCTTTTTTGTGATGATTTCTTTGGAGAAAATTCAATCTTCTATGAAATATTTGCAGGTACTTAAGAAAGTTTCCATATTTGCACATACTATGTTCCAAGTTCTTATAGGGTTAGTATAGTTGTAATGTTAATGATTTTTCTTGGAGGTGTTTGAATTCCATGCTTTTGGTACAAAAATATATCTGTTCTTACACCTCTTACTATAGTTGTAAATTGTAATGTCAATGATTTTTCTTGGAGGTGTTTGAATTCCATGCTTTGGTATTTCGGTTCTTATAGCATGGCTAAATGAGCATTTTTGTATGTTAATGGCGTTGATGAGTATTTTTAGATGTTGATACAGTTAACAATGATCATGAAGTACTTCGCTTGTAAGAAGCATTTCCTGAATAGAACTGTTGATACTCCTTTTACCACTTTCAGGCCCATTTGCAGTAATTGATGAGCATTTCAACACAGTACTTCCAAATAATTATGATGCAATTGGCATAATGCTTATGATCAGGATAATTCACCAGCACCAGGTATGCCTTGTGCTGTCTATCTAACTATTCATCCTTTTCTAGCAATTTTCCTGATATAAAAATATTTATAATTGAAGTTACAAGACATTGTTCGAAAATGTACTCCTATGATTTATATTTTTCGTGTGATCTCATATGTATTTGATGTTTCTCCACTTCAATTTTTTCCTTATGATTTTTAGAATCAGGTAAGTTTAAATGATCATATAGCAGATTATCCTGCAGTGACATGTTTGATGCATAGGGTTCTACTTTAAGCCGAACAGCTATAGAAACCCAAGTTGTGCCGATGTCTAAGCAAACTAATAGACATACTGTCCACCCAAATGATATATATTGATAAAATAACAGGAATGGGAGAGGCATTTGTCATCTTATTCATCCTACAAGGACTTCGAATAAACTTTCCTTTCTAATTTAAGAAAAATTATGGATGGTTAATTTGATGCAAATCTTATTTCAGTTCATTAACTTGTTGCTCTAAATACAAACTTCTATGATTCCTAGCTATATTACAACTACTTCAATGCATGAATCCTATATCAGCTTATAAATCCCAGATTTGATAAACCTGGATGATGGCTAAAGTCGTAAGGAAGCTTAATAGTTTAATAACCTTGTGTTGACTGGTTTTTATTTAAAAAACAAAACGTAGTTGACGAAGGATGCTATCTAAACACTGGATTGCATTTCCAACTGTAAAGTTTGAAAATGTAGTTTGTGGTGCATTGATTCGCTAACCTACAAGAAGCAAACATGCACGAAATGTAAGTGGTTGTACACAGGAGGCTACAACTTAGAAGACAATATATGGTGTGGGCTTGAAGAAGTTTGCTACAACAAATGATCTCTAGCAAAAAATCTCCCAACTCCCAAAGTTTGTACACGTAGTTCATGGTGCATTGATTCTCTAACTTACAAGAACCAAACATGCAGGAAATGTAATTGGTTGCACACAGAGGCTATAACTTAGAAGATAATGTGTAGTGTGGGCTTGAAGAAGTTTGCTACAACAAATATGATTACTAGATAGAAATAAATGCAAAATAAAATTCTGAGTAAGATGAGAACTGTAAATTTTGATGTATTTAGTGCTCGAGATTATATTATTCAAGCTATAGAGGGTGTTTAATTTATGATTCTATTACTGGAGTGATTGGTTTAATCCAACATACCTCCCAGGATTTTGCTCAGCATGTTCCTGACGAGGTATTTTGCACATGAATTATACTAGTGTTGCAATTATTCATTGGTTGCTTTTTATTTTGTTGTTTTTTCTTTGAAAATAGCATTACATTATATGTCATCCATATTATATTTTGTGCACTGTTTGCTTGTATGGCATAAATCTTCCTTCAATTAACAATTATATTTAATATTTTATTAGATAGATGATCTCATGATAATCAGGATATCTAAGTTATTCTTTAATGTTTTTATACATAAGATGGTTTGCTTTTCTTGTTTTTTAACATATTTATATTTAAAGTTATTATTTGTGCGGTATGCTTTTTTCTCTTTAGTGGTTCTAGCAAAAAGTGTTTACTTGGGTCTTGTGAGATTGCCATCATGGACTAATTACATAATTTTGTTATTATTGTGCAGTTGATCATGTTTAAGAGGAGGATACCTTGTCTGGACTCTTACTTAGATAAGGTTTGCCCAAACACCTTCAGAATATGTTATTGTCTATAACACAGATCAGCTGGAAGGTTACTCCTGTTTGCATGTTCTCCTCACATTTTCTGCTTTTCAAGGGCTGTGTTATACCAGCATTATGAGAACTTTTGCTGAAGCATTATTTGCATCATATCTTTGGTAGTCTTCATGGGTCAATACGATGTAATGTTTTCATCAGAATTACATTAAAATAAAATGATTACAGTGGTCTCATGCTTATAGTGTGGACTGCCATATGCGTGGAGTTCAAATTGTCGTAATAAAGTCAATACTAAGTTGTTGGTCATAGTGGATTACTTATTCATTAGTTTCTTACTTATTGAGCAGGTCAATATTTCTTTATGGCCTCGTTTCAAGATGGTATTCGACATGCATCTCAACAGTTTGCGCAATGCTGATGTGAAGACCCTATGGGAAAGTGATGTTCATCCTCACTATGTAATGAGGCGTTACGCTGAATTCACCGCTTCGCTTGTTCACCTCAATGTTGAACATGGAGATGGTCAAGTAAGCTAAAAGAATGATATCGTTATTAGTTTTGGTTGGGCCTTATCTATAAAACACTGTTGGTTGAGATTGGCAATATTACTGGGCATGGTAATAGAGTAGTCTGATGTTAATTTAGTTTGCCTAGTAATTTCTAGTCTTTTGCATGGTATTCTTCCAACTGATTCAAAATAGAAAAAACTTATGTTTTGTTGCTTTCAGCTTGATTTGAATTTGGAGCGATTGCGTATGGCTGTTGATGACCTGCTTGTTAAGCTTGCGAAAACCTTCACAAAACCAAAGTTGCAAACAGTGTTCCTCATAAATAACTATGATATGACGATTGCTATATTGAAAGTTAGTATTATCTCATTGTCTGCAAGCTATTCTGTAATTTTCAAGAAGCAATTGCTAGAAAAATACCTCTGACAAGGTTTCTTTAACAGGAAGCAGGTGCAGAAGGTGGAAAATTGCAGATGCATTTTGAGGATCTTCTAAAGAGCAACATATCTGTATTTGTGGTAAATGTTTAGAACACGTTACTGGACATAAAAGAAGTTCGTCTTTCCTACAAAGAAGAATGCTTCAAAGATTGAGCAAGTTGATGATTTTGATCTTTTACATTTTTCGATCGCTATTACTAGAATCAACAAGGTCACACAGCCAAAGGGATTTTGATCTAATGCATTTTTTTATTGCTATTACTAGAATCAACAAGATCATAGCTAGAGGGGGAAATATCAAATAGTGAAGTATAGATGTCTTTTAGGAAAAAGAGAAGCCAATTAAGGGAAAACTTACAACTAATTTGTTGGAAACTGAAGGAACTTTTTACTCCAATGCTTAGTGTTGGACTTCAGGACTAGTTTGGGATTCTTGACGGCTCAAATGCCATAATAGATATCCTATTCATGTACTACGTCATTACCTTTTCTTCCAAACTTCATGTGTAATTTCTCTCTTTCTACTAACACGAAGATGGGGATTTCAGTTTCAAGGAAAGATATTCAGAATAGTATGGGGACCATTAATGGACGGGAAGTAAAAAAGTATTATGTTTACTGAATAGTTTGGCTTATACTCTTATTCCGTGTAATCACATTAAGATAAAGGACAACTGTTTAAATTGATACGTTCCATAGTTCTTAGGATTGATTATTAGTGGAAAATTATTTTGAATTGGGAAAATTTGTTATTCAGTTTCGATTTATCACATGAGAAATTTCCCATTTGATTTTTTTTAATTCAGACATTTTGTAATTCGCCATCTAGGATTTTCAGGTATCTGAATTTCTTAAAACTTTAATCCAAGTTTTATATAATACATGCTTAACCATGTATAATACGCAGGAAGAACTGCTCCTGGAGCATTTTAGTGACTTGATCAAGTTTGTAAAAACGCGAGCCTGTAAGTTGAGCAAACATTACATCATCTTTCGTTTACTTAATATCTGAAACTAAAGGGACTTAATTTTTCTTCTTTGTCCCTTTTTAACTTTTAAACTATGTAACAGCTGAAGACACGAGTCCCACTGCAGAAAAGGCTGGTGTTTCTGATGTTGAACCCTTGGTCAAGGACTTCGCAAGCAGATGGAAGGGAGCGATAGAGTTGATGCACAAGGACATTATTACTTCTTTTAGTAATTTCTTAAGTGGAATGGATATTTTGAAATCGGCATTGACACAGCTGCTGCTCTATTATACAAGGCTTTCGGAATCTGTGAAGGGAATTCCAGGTGGTTCTGCATTGAATAAGGATCTTGTTTCCATATCCTCTATATTATATGAGATTAAGAAGTATTCGAGAACCTTTTAGCTTGAAATCCTGAAAGCATTTGAAGAGTACTTTTTGACAACCGTGAAGTGTAAGCCGCGCAAGGATGGGGATAAAATATTAATTTGATGCCGAAGGTGGATTTGTTTGTAGTGTTTCGAGTTCATTTCAAATCTTGACAAAAGTATGATGTTATAATACACTATGGGTGGGGTGGCAATTGATTTTTTGGGTCATGGAAGATTAACTAATTTGGTGTATGATATAACTCGAGTTAAATTGAATGTAATATAGAGAAGCAAGCACATACTGAGTTGTTGATTCTTGTCGACGATGAAGCGTATAATAAGTATGACCTTTGCTTTGTTTTCAGACTTGCTATTGCCCTGTAAAGAGAATTGAATGTGCAGAAATAATTCTGTGGTTGTCTGTGAATGCAGGTCGTTTGAATACAGAACTGTGCGGTAGTTTTTATGAGGGCGTGGGTTTCTACAGAGTAACACATGCGTTTAAAAGTGTGTGCTGAATTAAAGTGTAACCTTGCACGGGTAAAATCACCAATATTTTGCTTGGGTTTAAGAACTTCCTACTCCTTTCTTCAATCATGTGTAGAAGATAAACTCTCTTTTAACTTTGTCTTTTGTAACTATACGCTCCTAATCCCTAGTACATAATACTCTCAAGATGTATTATGCAATTTACAAATGTGGTTTTTCTAAAGGTGCTCATGGGCACTCGTTAGGGATTATAGAGAGAAATGAATAACAAGCAAATTCCATCTCATTTGCACTAATTTCTAATTTCTTTACTATCTCTTCCTTTTGCGTTTCTTTTATCTATCTCCTAACGAGTGCTCATGGACATATGTTAGAGAAACGCTAACAAATGGTACCTTTGACACAAGAAAGTAATAATTTTTAAGTAAGTTTTTGGATAAGCAAAAGTACATGAAATTTTCTATATTGATATTTCTATCGTGATCATAAATTCCAAATTTTATTTTACTTTTTGTTGTTTTTCTTATTGACTTCGTATCAAATAATTACTTTATAATAGAAATTTTTAATGACAATTTATGGCGGGACCTATCAACCCGACTCGACCAGACCCACTTATAATGAATAAGGATCGAATTATATGGGTTCGGTTATAAATAGGGTCAACCCAAATTTACTCATTTATTAAATATGTTAGTTTAGATTGACTCGGACTGATCGTATAATCCAACACGGACCGTAAAACTCAATGACCCAAAGACTGAGAGACTCTTATAAACGCTCTCTCTGGGGGTTAATAAGAAGAGAGAAACCTATATTTTGGACAAATTTTCAAAACCATCTCATTTACAAAAATATTCGTAAAAAATGACATATTCTAAAAATATTCGTCAAAACCGACATAGTTTTAGTCGTCGAGCTGAAACTGGGTTGGTTTTGGCAAAAAAAAAACTCTGAAACTTCATGGGACTTGAAGTTCTGTGAAGTTTAGCAGCCATTTAATTAAGCTGCGTAACTTCACAGGACTTCAAGTCCCGTAAAGTTTATTTTAACTACAAAACTTCACGTGACTTGAAGTCCCGTGAAGCTTCAGTCCGGAGAAGTTACTCTCCGGAAAATGCAGCCTGTAACTCCACGGACTTCAAGTCCCGTGGAATTTGGCTTTGCCTATATAAGGCATAGCCCGACGGCCCCCACCGGACATCACCGCAGCTTTCATCGTCGGAGTTCACCTGAAATTAGGTAAAATATTTTAAATTTTTTTTGTATATTCTCACTATTTCATGGTGATTATTTGTGAAAAAATAGATTTGAAAATAATTTATGAATTATTTATGAATTTTGTGAAGAAAAATTAAATAATTTTGTGTATTTTGAGAGGAAATTATCAAAAAAATGTAAAAGTTAGTGTTACTACAAATGTTTGACATTTGGTTAAAATTATGGGTTTCTAAAATGATATAAGAGATTTAATGGTAAGTAAACATTTTTTTTAATTTTTTCGTGTAATATTAATATAGAATATTTTACTGTTTAGAGGTAACGATGAACAATCGAATCGTAATTCTTTGTTCATATGATGGGAAGATTAACTGTCTTGAAAATAATATGTCCGCTTATGAAGGAGGTGTGACGAATCCGTTGTTTATATTAAAATCGTGTACTTTCAATGAATTGGTTAATGACTTACACAAACTTACATTAACCAACTCGCATGAGTATCACCTCAATGTTATTTGCAATTATCCTGCTGTGAGGAACAGAACAAACGACATTCAAATCTCAAGTGACTATGATATGAGTCTTATTGGAGTATTACATGACGAGAAGCGTCCGGTGGAATTATTTATTGAAAAACATCAAAGAAATTTGGGCAATCGGTGAATCACGACGGAATATACTCCCGCAAGTTGGAGGACCTTGAAGTTGACTCCGTTGGCTTTTTATCTCCGCAACAAGATGAATGTTGGAAATTCAGCTCAAGCTTCTCACAGGACTTCAAGTCCTGTGAAGTTTTTTTGCTTCTAAAAAATTTCATGGGACTTGAAGTCTCGTGAAATAATTGTCGCTCTTAATTAACGTCATTATAGGCTGATAAACTTCACGAGACTTCAAGTCCGATGAAGTTTGAGTGTTTTTTTGTCAAAACCGATCCAGTTTCAGCCTGACGACTGAAACTAGATCGGTTTTGTCAGGCTGAAACTAGGCCGGTTTTGACGAATATTTTTAGAATACATGGTCTTTTGCGAATATTTTTGTAAACGGACAAATTTTCAAAACCAACCTATTTACAAATTTAATCGCAAAAAACAACCTATTTCAGATTTAATTGCAAAAACCGACCTGGTTTCAGCCCTGGAGCTGAAACCAGGTCGGTTTTTGAAAATTTTTATCCGAAACTTCACGGGAGTTGAACTCCCGTGAAGTTTCGTAGTTCAATTTTTTTTTTGTACTGGGAAACTTCACGGGAGTTCAACTCCCGTGAAGTTTCGAAAGTTTTTTTACAAAAACCGACCTGGTTTCAGGACCAAGGCTGAAACCAGGTCGGTTTTTGCAATTAAATCTGAAGTGGGTTGTTTTTTGCGATTAAATTTGTAAATAGGTTGGTTTTGAAAATTTGTCCTTTTGTAAACAGGTCGGTTTTGAAAATTTATCCCTATATTTTTCATCCCCAATCATCACGGGGCTCAAAGCGGGGGTGCGGCAGCGAGCGGCGCGATTGGGAGATGCGGGGCGAGCATTCAGGGAAGTGCGCCGAGAGCCGAGCTTAAGGGCAAGGCCGGCAAATCAATTTCATTTCTTGATCTTGAATTAGGGTTTTAGATTGCTACGATATTAATGGAGGACCAGAGTCCAGGCTCAAGGGGTGGCAGCAGGCGGCGGTCGCTTTCGGTCGGCTCTGGCGCTCTGATGGATCCGAGAAGAGCGGATCTATAGGCCGCTTCGGGAGACTACGGGCAAGCCGGGCGTTTCATCGGGTGCTCGAGCGGATGAAGAATAACCCTGAAGGCAGGGTGAGTCTTTCTAGGATTCAATATCCAATTCCATATTCCCCCCGTATTTTGGGGATTTTTTTTTTGTAACTTGGATTTGGGTGTTCGTTTGTATGCAAAGCTGAATTGGATAGATTTGAGCCCATTGGGAGGAGAGAACTAGCAGCAGTTCTTACGGTAGGTAGGGTAGCAAACTGTTTGTCGGCGAGCTTGTTGCTATTGCTGGTTAGCTTCAATGAAGTTAGCTTCAATGAACAAATAAAATGGAGGTTGAATGATGTAGCTTCTCGGTTTTTCAATGTCGAAGCTTATATCTATCTATCACTGTTTTGCTGCTCCTACTGTTCTTGATACGAGTGAAATACTCAGACTCTACGACATGCAAGATTGGAAGGACTGTACCGGCGGCGAATAATGTCTCGGGCTTCTTAGATGGTGCCGATAGCAAAAGTTTTGTGAACGAAAGCACCTTAGCCATTATGTTGCAAAATTGCACCTTAACCGTCTGGAGACCGTGCGTATTTTCTAAGATGAGATTTGGGGTGCCGTTGGTGGGTGGGAGACTGGAAGAGAATAAGACTGGAATAGATTGGTGAATGGGACAAGATATTAAACTATTAAGTATTTGGCTGAGGAATGAAGTGGAAGCTTTGTAAGATGTGAATTTGGAATAATTTTTCTAGCATTGCAGTTAAGGAACTCTTTTATCGACAACAGATGGGTATGTCAACTCTTGTAATCATTAGTCTAAGAGAGCTAAAGCGAAGAGAGAAAGGACTAGGAAACAATTGTCCGGAAGTGGAAGATTAGAAGTGTAGAATAATTCCTTCAGAAAGAAAATCCGTTAGTTGACAAGAAGCAACTTTTTTATCTCTTTTTATTCGTTTGTATTATTAAAGGAGAAAGTAGTCTAGAGAAAGTAGTGGATCTGAAAGACGGGAGAGAAACAAGATGGTAAAAGGTGATAAATTCTCCATAGAAGGGTTACATACAATGAGAGAGAGAGAGAAATAAAGGAGAGGAAGGAAAATGATAACTAACAAATTTTTACTTTGGATGATAACTAAAAAGCTTACTGCTAATTGTCTAAGAGTTTAGTAAGAAGTTGAGGCAAATTCAAAGGTTTAAAAGGAAGAATTTAAAAGTTCAAAGAACTCTTTTATGCATTCTGTAAGATGAGATAGACCTTTAGAGCTCAAGCCCCTCAACCCACCCCACCCCTACCCCCAAGACACCCGCATACCCATCCACATTGGTGCTTAGCAATGTTTTAAATGTCAGATATCAGGGATGTATCAAACGATCAAAATCCATATGGGATTGCGGATTTCAGGAAAATATCGGGGATATCAAATAAATCGAATTGTCACATACTTGATGAGATCTATGCATACAAAAATATAAATAATAAATGTTTTAAATCACTGACCAAACTTTTAAAACAAATAAATATCCAAATTGACATTGTAACATTTCAGTCGATTTTTTGGGGGCCAAAATATTAATTGATATATTGGAAAAATCATATCGCCCAAAAATTGGCAAAATCGGAGTGTTGTTTTTGTAACAAACCATCTAAAAGGACATATCAACCAACATGTCAGTTGATATATCGATCATGTTAGGGATATATCACCCAAATTTGCCAAAAAACATTAGAGCATATTGAAACCATATCGTTTTGATGAAAGCCATATAAAAGGATATGTCGGCCATGTCGGTGATATTTAAAACAATGGCGTTTGGATGATATAATTTTTTAACTTTTGTTTGACCTTCAATAGTAAAGGCATTGATTAACTCTATGTGAGTTCTTTTTGGAAAATATCCTGCACTTCAACTGAGGTAATAGATGATTAGCATTTGTTTTTGGCTCTCTGAATCAGCATCTTAGCGATGTTTGTATACCTCTCTCCACTAAAGTTAAATATCACTTCCAAAATTTCATCCCATTGTATTGTTTTAGGTTTTGGTAGACACTGTTGGACTCCTACTTAGTCCATCTCATCCTCTTCTAGTTAGAAATGGGAACTATCCTTATCAATTCTTCAGTATCTTTTTATAGGCAAACATTTTTCGTGCTAACTTGGATTTGTCCAATATCTCACTTGGCACCATCTTGTTAGTCTTGTGACTATGCCAAAGCACATGGAAGTTGATCCATGAGGTATTTTAGGTCACCTTTTACCTTTTATAG